TGCTTGGCAGAGAGGAGAAGGTATGGACAGGCAGATCCCTGAGAAGTTGTGCACCCATCCACAACTGCTTTTATTATAACCTCCCCACTGAGCTTTCTACTTTCTCTGTGCTGGTTTTTATCAGGTCAGTTGGTTTCTTTCTTGTAATCATCCTGTTTGGCCTCTTGGAGTATTAATGCATTTCTCTTCTCTGTAAATCTGATGAAGTTTCTGTTTATTCCAAGGATTGTTACTGTTTTTTTAAATGATAGCAATGCAAGTAGGTTGGAGGTCTCCTCAGGCAGAGCTGTAGGACTCATGGGTGCAGGCTGTCTGTGCCTGCTGGGCTTGAGTCTGGATTGCTAATGATGGCTGTTCAAAATCCAACGTAGTTCCCAATGGGTTGGAAAGTACTTCATGATGCGGCACAACTACATAATTCCCTTAACGACAGAACCAAAGTACTTCATCAGCACTCGCACATTTTGACTCTGCAGTTTGCAGGTGCAAAGTTTCTCACTGAACGAGAGAGCATTTGTGACAGAGACCAAAACTGGAACGGCTGAGGTAGGTGGGGAGGGGAAGGCCACAAGGATCCTCAGGAGAGGGGTGGCACACACAGAAGCCACAACACATGGGGTTTGTGTTGAAAGCAGATGGCTGAGCATAGAGCCGAAAGGTGATGACGCTCACACAGCCCCGCATGAAGGCAGGATGCAACTAATGCAAAACGTCTGCTTCAATAAATCACTGCAAAAAGTGCTGTGCTCAGGGAAGACTGCTGTGGGACAGATGGGGCAGGAGATGCCCCGGTCAGTGGTGTCCATGTGAGTTGCAAGAAGGAAGGAAAGACCAGAGGCTGGAGACGATCAACAAATGTTTCAGATATTGACACCGACAGCACTACTGAGAGGAGTGAGCCCAGTGGAGGGCATAGAGGAAGTTCCTCAGGGAGAGCAGCTCATTGCAGCAAGCTGGTGTCAGCAACTGTAGGTGATCCAGAGCAGGTGGGAGGGTGGCAGGTGGAGGCCCATGCCCCTGTGGCTGTCCCTTGGTGGGACGGGAGCCAGGTGGCTACTGGCACTGTCGTGCTTGCCAGGCCACCAGGCGTGTTTCTGGTGAGATTCCAGCCTGGTGGTGGGGCACCTCTTCGGGGTTATCAGTGGTGCTAACAAGGGGGTGAGTGACTAACAGCTGAGGTAGGTCCTTGCGCCTGCAGGAGCCAGACCTGCCCACACCCCTCAGAAGTCAGCAGTGCTCAGGCAGGTGGATGTCAGGCAGACAAGTCTGTGTGTCAGCCTTGGTTGGGTTTCACCTGTCTGCACACTCTTCTCCCCAGCCAGGCCCTGGGCAATCTGGGGTGAACCTGAGGATGCCCAGTATCAAAGGGACATCAGGAAGCATGTTTCTGTTTTGTTCTGCTCTTGCATTCTCTCCCATGCATTGTTCCTCCTCTCTGTCTCTCCCCTTCCTTCAACTGAAATCTCCAAGGCCAGGGTTGTGGCCCTGTTCTCCCCGCAGGCCTAGCACTGCCTGCAAGCTCTACAGCTGTTGCCTTAATCATTTTATGGGGAAAATTATTCTCTCCTGTGTCTTTTTTGCTTCTTGTTATGTAACTATTTTGTGGTTTGCTTTGCTACAGAGCTGTGTGGCTTGAGGGACAGTGTAAGAAGATGGCTGGAAATATAGCATGCCTCCTGCTCCTGCCTGAGGGGGGGATGAGGAGGAGACTATGGGCTCTGTGGTTCGAGATGGGAAAGAAGAGTAGCAAAGGGGATTAATGAGGCCCAAGAATCTGGCTGCACGGTGAGTGAGGAGCCCAGGGTAGAGGGATCAGAGCAGCACTATTCATGAAGACTCAATGGGTAAGGAATTGGAAATGAGCAGGAGCCCAAAAGGAGGGGGAGGAGGGGTTGGGTTTGTTAGAACAGCAACAGTGGTGTCACAGTAGCCCTGTAGGTAAACCGAGGCAGTGACACTTGGCAAGGAGAGCGATGGTACTGTACTTTGAAGGGGACTGTAAATTAGATAGAGACCCATCACAAATTTTAAACAGCATAAACATAGTCTTCTGAAGCACAATAGAGCTCTACTGAAGGTCAGAGCCCCTTGCCAGCCATCTGCCTCACTGTTTTGCAGGCACCCTGATGGTGACTGGAGCAGCCTGTGCTGCTGAACTGGTTCTTTTTCACTCTTCACAGCTTCAGGGGAGGTCTTGCAGGAATCTAAGAACAATTCAGGAAAGAGCTGAGCTCTGGGCTGGCTGCACAGAGCTCAGGGAGCTGGGACCATGGCAGGAAATGCACAGACATGGCAGTGTTTGTAGTACTCAGCCTCTGGACACATCCTGGGGCTTCCTTATGCCACAAGACTAGCTAACCACTTGAACAAGGAGGGAGCTTTCCTGCTCTTTTTTTATTCTTTGGATCCTCCCCGAACTCAGCCTGTGCTGGCAGCACTGTGGTTCTGCAGCAGCTTCAGAAACGCCTCTGACAGCCCCAGAGCTGTGAGGGAGCAGCTGCTCTGCATGCAAGAAGCAGCGCTGTGTCTCCTGGGCCCTCACTTTAAGTCATGTAAATGATGTTTGGATGTTTCTGAGACTTGAAGTCCCTCCTTTCTCCCACCTTGCATCCCTCCTGACAGCTCCCTGCTCCTGTGCTGGAGGATGTATGCTGGTAGAGAAAAGTACTGCTGTCTTCTCAAGACCCTTCAATAGGTAGAGCAGAATGTTGGGGAATAGATTTGCTGGGCAGAGGGCAGGGAACAGCTCCTGGATGTGTCCCCACACCATCCTAAGGGAGCCAGTACTGAAGGATAAGGAACTGGTTGGTTCCTTTTCATTCTTAGCCCTCATTGAGCAATACTTTACATTTAATACTTTACTTTACTTTACTTTACTTTTTTTTTGAGCAATACATTACAGCCCTACCAGCTCACTGTCCCCTGGGGCACCTCCATCTTCAATGGGAGTGGGCTGGGCATGCTGGGCAGGGGCTGCTGCTACAAAAGTCTGCTCTGTGCCAGCAGCAGGTGGCCACCGTCTATGGCAGGGAGGGAGGTACAATGAGGGGAAGTGAGCTGTCATTTCCCACTGCCATCGTGGTCATGCATTTAGTGCTGCCATATGAGATGCTCCTTCCACTTGGAGCTGTTGCTCTGGGGTGTGAGCTGCACAGTGCCTGCGTGGAGCCAGGGAAAGGTGTTCCATGTCCCAACCAAAACTGAGGCAGCATTCCCAGGCTGTCTCCCTGTTTCACCATGCTCATCTCCTGCCTTGTACTCCCTGTGCCCATCTCACTCATCAGCTGATCCCTCAGCTCCAGCAGCCTGCCTTAGGTGCTTCCCTTCTGCACAGGAACTGCTGAGTCACAGCCCGAACCACTGATTGAGCACCTGGGGAAAGAACCCGGTCAGCCCTGGGGCACAGGTGAAGGCAATTCAGCTGTGTGACCAGAAGGGGTGGAGCCTGGCTGCACCTCTCCGAGACCTCATTTCAGGGCTGACTGCTGCTGGGGAAGGATCTCTTTTTGGAGATTCCTCCTTGGTGAAGCTTTCCCCTGTGAATCTGGAATCTTCTGATATGGGTGAGCAATTTTCTTTCCTTCCTTTATAGCACCTTTTTAGTGTGCTGGTCCTTCTGTCATCACACCTCTGTTGTAATGATTTTCTCATTGTATTGATCTGGTCAATTGCTACACCAGTGACATTCAAAGCAGAACTGAGGTTTTCTTTTGGCTCCTCAGCCAGAGAGCTGGAGTCTCCTTGAGGAGCTTGGTTCCCTTGTGAGTTTGCTGGAGTTGAAAGTCTGGATCTAGGTTGGAGCTCTCTGTACCCAGCACTGTGTCCCTTCTGCCCTAAGGCTGCAGGGCTCCAGGAGCCCATATGAGCAGGGCAGGGCTTTGGGTCCCAGAACTGCCTTCTATGGCCCTGCCACTGGGCTGCCTCATGAATAGAAAGAGCCCTGGGTGTTGGAGCTGAGCTGAGGCATGGTGCTGTGCCTCCTGCCAAAGATGGATGGTGGTGCTCTGAGGCAGAGAGCCTCCATTCTGCTTGCACTGGGTCAAGGTGCATCTGGGTTGGGGTCCAGGCCACTGTCTGCAGCAGGACGTGAGATAAGATTAGCACGGTTGTTATTCCAGAGTGGGGCAAGGGTTTCAGTGACATTGGTGCTTCTGTGGTGTTTGCATCCTTCTGCAACTCCTGTCCATGGGGCTGCTCTTCTTTCCTGGGTTCTGCTACGCTCCTTGAGCCCTTGCTTGCTTACACTCCTTTGAGTTTCCTTTGTGCTCCCTTGGGCTAAATTAAACACATCATTTACCTTTATCTGAGCAATAAAGAGAAGTTCATTGCATCATAGAAACACTTGAGTTGGAGGAGATTCTAAAAGGCCATCTAGCCCAGCTCTCTCTATTGAACAGGGATGTCTACAGCTGATCAGGTTGCTCAGAGTCCCACCCAGCCTCACCTCAACTGCACCAATCACACCTACTGACAACCTGAATCCTTCACTACTCTTACTGTAAAAAAAACTTCTTCCTTTTACCCAGTCTAAGTGTCCCCTTTAAGTTTGAAACCATTTCCCTTTGTCCTATCACCATAGACCCTGCTAAAGAGTTTGTCCCCTTCTTTCTTACACCTCCTTTAGATACTGACAGGCTGCTCTCAGATCTCCCCGGAGCCTTCTCTTCTCTAAGGAGAAGTTGGGCACCCTGAACCTGTCTGACAAAGCTGGTCTCCGCTCTGTGTACCAATACCTTCGCAGGATTCAGCCGTTAATTACCCTGAAATGACAGAGGCTCTTTGCGACGCCGGAGCGGCACCTGCCCACAGCGGTGACCGAGGGGCAGCTCGGCGCGGTACCGCCCGGCCGGGGGGGCGCGGGTGCACGGCGGGGGGCGGAGGGCGGGCGGCTCCGCTCCGTTCCGGGCTCCGCTTCTCTGCCGGCCCCGCTGCGTGCGGAGCGAACCTCGGGCGGCGGGGACGGGGGCAGGTTCCCCGGGCGGGCTCTTCCCCGCCCCGCTATGGAGAGCGGGATGCTGTCTCGCACGCAGCAGGAGCTGATCCGGGAGAGCTGGCGGCGGGTGAGCGGCAGCCCGGTGCAGAACGGCGTCGTCCTCTTCTCCAGGTGAGCTGGGGCTCGGGAAGCAGCGTGGCTCCGCGCCCGGGGTGCTCGACAGGAGGAGCGGATCCCCGGGGCGGCGGGCGGTGCGGGGCTGCCCCGCGCGGTGCCCCGCGTTGCGGCCGGGCAGGAGCTCGTGGAGCCGAGCCGAACTCTGCCGTGCGCATCTCAGCGTCTTCCCTACGGGCTGCGACGCCGTTGCCGGCGGGTGAGCGGGACTCCGAATGGAGCCAACAAAGAGAGAAGATGGGGCCTCTCTCCCGCCGTTGCAGGTTGTTCGATCTGGACCCTGACCTGTTGCCCCTTTTCCAGTACAACTGCAAGCAGTTTGCCAGCCCCCAGGAGTGCCTGGCTGCTCCCGAGTTCCTGGATCACATCCGAAAGGTGAGAGGGGTCGTGGCAATCCGCGGGTGGGTTCGGGACCGCCAGGAGTCGATGGGAGCGCGCGGGAGGACTGCTGTGTCCCCGAGACGGGGAAGGAGCGGTGCTGAGGCTGCCTCGCGGGAGCTCGCGTACAGGAAGAATTGGGCATAACGCAGCGCAGCCCTTTGGTGAGCCCGGAGGAGCAGCCCTGCTGGGACAGAGTGCAGCCTGTGCTGCCTTCGTAACCCCATAACCTCCATCTTCAAACCACCCTTTATAACCTCCATCTTTAAAGCGGCGTAGCGCCTGCTCGCCTGGCCTTGTTCCTTGTGAGAGGCTCTTTTCTTGATAGCTGCAGGCTTTCTGCTATTTTCTGCTTACTGAACAAGCAACGTCCATCTTTATTTCTGCTCTTATTGCCTTAAGCTGAAATAGCTCTTTGCTCTAGTTGGAGATAATTTGCCTCTTGAAATTATAGAGTGCGGTTCTATCACCTCTTGCCTTTGCTGGGCTTACCATGCCCAGGTTTTAATCTCTCCTAACTTGTTCTGTCTGCTCCCTTCATCCCTCATTAACTCTGTTCTGCTCCCACGTGACTCTTCATCCCTCTGGGAGCCCACTGCCATTTGTGCATTGCCAGAGCAGATCTCCTGGCTGGGCTCTCCCCCACCTCCCCTCAAAATACTTTGGCCTACCTTAGCATTGTCTCCTATGCTTTTGCACTATCCTGGCAACTTCCAGAGGTTCCACTTTCTCCTCTGGGAAGGGAGGCCAACAGCTCCTCTGCTGTGCTGGGAGGTGGTGGTAGCTGCTGAGCTGAGCAGGGTGAGCTAGAGGGGCTGGCCTTGTACAAATGTGGTGCAGCTGCTGTGCTCCCCCAGGTGATGCTGGTGATTGATGCAGCTGTCAGCCACCTAGACGACTTGCCCTGTCTGGAAGAATACCTCTGCAACCTCGGCAAGAAGCATCAAGCAGTTGGTGTGAAGGTTGAGTCCTTTTCGGTGAGGTGTACTCTCCCATCCCACTATGGCTGTTTGTGCAATCCTTGATGGTTCCAATTCTGAGCCACTGGAGATGTTGGCTTGGCCTGGGAAGCCCTTGAGCACCCCTTGTTTCCTGCCTGGAGAGTGAGGGCAGAGGGGAGCAAAGCAGTTCAGAGGCTGTTCAGTCAGTAGAAGGGAAAGCTCAGGGGAGGCCTTATTGCTCTCTGCAACTCCCTGAACAGGTGACAAGGTGGAGGTCAGCCTCATCTCCCAGGTTATGGTGATAGGATGAAAGGGAACGGCCTCAAGTTGTGCTGGGGAGGCTGAAGTTGGATATTAGGAAATATTCCTCATCCCGAAAGAGTGGTCAGGCACTGGAAATGGGCTGCCCGTTCCAGGTAGGAAGTGGTGGAGTCACTGTCCCTGAAGGTGCTCGAGAAGCATGTAGATGTCACACTTAGGGATATGGTGGCATTGGGTTGATGGCCGGACTAGATGATCTTAGTGGTCTTTCCGAACCTTAACAACTCTGTGATTCTATGATTTCTCCACCTGGAGAGAGCGATGGCTTGGTGCACCATTGTCTCTCACCCAAAGTGGTGCGGGGGTGAGGGAAGGGATCTGCCTGTTGTTCCCCAGCACTGAGTTGACACTTCTCTGTTTGGATTGCAGACAGTTGGTGAGTCCTTGCTGTACATGTTGGAGAAGTGCTTAGGTGCTGCCTTCAGCCCGGATGCGAGGGAGGCCTGGATCAAACTCTACAGTGCGGTGGTGAAAGCCATGCAGCGTGGCTGGGAGGTCCTCCCAGAGGGGGACTAGCCCTAGGCCTGGCCCTCTACAGGACGAGCACTCACCCCTCTGCCTCTCTCCACCTGTCTGTCTCTATGCACCAGCCCACCTCCTCCAGCCACATGTGCTGGGTTCTCTTCGTGATCTCACCTTGCTTTGACGCTGCCATGTCCCTGCTTTTCCTGGTGGCCACAGGGTATCTCTCTGTAGCCCAGAGTGTCCAGCACAGCACCACTTCCCAGTGCCAGGTTCCTGTGTGCCAGCACCTGTAGCTGTGCTTTGGCCTTCTGCTGGCTCTCTACCCTCTTGTTGCTGCCCATCCCCATAAGATAGCTGCTGGTGAGAGCCTCTCAAGCCCCACAGCGAGCTCTCATCCTGCTCTCTTCACCCAGCATCACCATGGGCAGTGATCTTGGTGCGCCTCTGCCCTTCTCCTGTGTGAGGCTGGTTGCAGTGTAGTGTGTTCCCTGCGAGTGTTTCCAGTGGTGGGGGATCACATTAATACCAAGGTAAGGCTGCTCTCAGTGATGTAGGCTGCTGCCCAGAAGGGTTCCTGTAGACTTGGCCAGTTGATTTTAATGTGTGAGAGTTGGCTGAAGTGCACCAGCAGCAGTGGCTATTTAATGTTTTGTATTGAGAAGAATGAAGCAAATACAAGAAATCATGTCTTAAAATAACAATGAAAGTTGCAATCATGTCATGGCAACGGCTTCTGGAAATGATGCTGGCTCTTGGCCAGGGGAAGAATGCCTGTAATTTTTCTGCTTACGGGGGTAGGACCTGGAGTGCTTCCTATCTGCACACAGTGCCCATCTGCAGAGCTTCCTCACCTTGCAGAAATAACTCTGCCATACCTGAGATGCAGTCACCGTGGAGGGGAGAAGGCACACGGCTAACACTGAGCAGGTAGGGCCATGTTAGGGCAGGAGTACAGCACCTGCCAGGAAGCTACCAATGAAATGGCTGGGAGGCAGAACCCATGTGCTCCAAGGGAGCTGAACTTGATCTCGATGGAGAAGGTCATCTTTAAGGGAAGTCATCCCAGGGTAAGGACAAGGAGCAAATGCTCATCTGCAGCCAGTGCCCTTTTTCACTTCTTCAGTGCAGGAGAAGGCCAGTGTTCAGGGCTGTGATTGTCCCTCCTGTGCTGACCTATCCTCCCTCTGAGCAGGAGGGCAATCCATGAGATGTGTCACCATTCCTGTCCCCTGCCCTGTGGTGCTGGTGGCTGTGCTGAGCACACAGCAAGGACCCTGATTGTGAGGGGAGTGGTGTCAGGGCAGAGCCGTATGTGCCATGCATGCTATCTTCCCCAGGATACCAGGCTGTGCTCTTGCAGTCTGATACAGAGTAGGAGAGGCGGGGAATGGGGCAGTTCCTGTTACAGCCCTGATCTGGGGCATCAGCACCACAGGCAGGAATGTTCTGAACCTGCGTGGCACATAGCCACGTGTGTGAGGAATTGAGTGTGTGCTACTGCAAGAAATGGTCCCTTTGTCCTTTAGCTTCCACTCCTTTTTTGTGCCATGTTTTGTGTAATTCCTAGGGGAAACAAACTAGTCTGTGTGCCTCTTATACCCAGATGTACTGTTTAATAAAGAACAATCGACAGTCTCTGCCCTTTGGGGTGCCTGTTTATTTTGAGAGGCCTAAGCAAGCTTAACAAAGGATGACAGAGGGGTTTGCTGGGCTAGATTTAAATGTTCCAGTTCTTCACCTAATCTGACATCCCTTACCCTATACCAGCTTTTCTGAGGTAACACCACTGGGTGCTCCTCTTCCCCCTGCACCTTTTCTGCTCCTGCATCTTCCCCTTACCCCTGAAGTGCTTCTAGCCCAGATCGCTCTTCCAGTTGCTGCCTTTTCTTGACCTGCTGTGCTGCTGCCACAGTGCCATAGGCTGGATACAAAAGGGACAGACAGTGCTTGCCTTTGGAGAGGGTCTGTAGCTGGGCAGAGGGTGACAATGGCTATCACTACCAGACAGGAGTAACGCGTAGAGGGGATGACTGCAGGCAGCAGGTGGGTGAAGTCATTTTATTCAAGGCACGGTCATAGCGATAAATAACAAGAAGGTACAGACCTCTGGCACATTCCTACAGTGTGGCAAACAAGGGCAATCCATGCCTGAGCTCCGCAGGACTCAGTGCCACTCGCAGGCACTTGTGTCCCCCCAGAAAGGGAGCATCAAGTCATTGGATGGGGCCACCAGCATCTTACCAGCCCCAAGATGAGTGGCTGCAGGACACCAGTGTAGGGAGCTGGGATTTCCCCTCAGAGTCACTTCTGGTTGCCACAGCCACCACTTGGGCATGTAGAAGCCAGGGAGCAGCAGGGCTGCCAGCCTTGAGAGCTGAGACCTCCAACTCACTGCTGGGTGCCCCAGGATTTACACACTGTGCCCCCACTCCCAACAGCTTCAGTAATGCTGGGCAGGGGAAGTGGCACAGGGCATCCCTGCAGTGTTGTTCTCTGGAGTCAGACCCCTCCATCACCCCTGGGGAGAGCAAGGACTGGGGCAGGGCACCCTCCCAGAAGTGCAATGCAAATGTCCCCCTAGCAAGGGAAAGACCCAGATGAGCTCTCTCACATCCCACTAAGGTCTTGGGCACCACCCATGGCCAGGCACCAGTTTCAGCCCCTACTTCTACAGCATTGCACAGAGTGGGGAGAAACTGCCTGAGCACTGCCTCATTCCTGAGCAACTGGCAACTACAGGAGGATGACTCATGGGAAGAGGCAGGATTTCAAGAGCCCCACCTCTGCATTTTCAGAAGGTAGCAGATGGGTCGGTCCCCCACTGGCACCATAACCATTCTGCTATCAGCTGCCTGCTATGGCTTTACCCCAGCAGGAAACCACCCAGGCACAGCAGAACTGTGTGCGCTCACCCTGTGGGAGCAAGGCTGGGAGTGCAGTACCTGCTCCTGCATCCAGGGCCCAAAAAGCCCAAGGATGCTGCCTGGGCAGGAGCAGGTGGTGTGCACACACCCAGTGCAGCAGCATTTATGCTCCAGAGGCTCCTGGACAACCCAGGGAGTGCTGCCAGCCCCCTGTTGCTATTGCAATGGGATGGAGCTGTACGGATCCCCACAGGCAGCCCCGCGGGGAGTGAGGGGAGTGTGGGCTGTAAGAGTGGGAGGATGGGAGCCACCAGTGAAAGGCAGCTGTTGTCATGGCCACAACCTGTCCCTGAAGACCCGAGGGCACAAGCACACTGCAGCAGCAGAGGGAGGGCACAAAGAGGGCAAGCCCTGCCAGGACAGTGCTCTCAGCACTACATGGGTTGGGGAGGACAGCACCCAGGGCCATGGGAGGCAGCAGGATGGCTGCAGCAATGGATGGGCAAGCTAAGTTTTGTCATGGCAGAGAGGATGTGTGACCAGAGGCAGGGCCTCCCTCCTCCCCTTGCAGTACAGTCTTTTAGGGAGACCTTAACCCAAAACCCTGCAACCTCTCCTCCCCATCCCAGACTGGATGCGGCAGATGGGGCTGCGAGGGTGCAGGGTGGCCAAGCCTGTCTGCAGTGGCAAGGCCACGCTGCCTTGCATGGGCTGAGGTCCCTCCTTCACTTAAGTCCTGATGCCCCCCTGCTCCAAAATCAGCTATGTGTGGGTCCATCAGTGAGGTGGGCGCCCACTGGTGTTGGCTCTCACCCTGGGAGCAAGATGCTCACTGGTAGCGGGGCTGGCTCTCCATCACGGGGCCGGTCCTGTACTCGCCTTCCACCGTCTCCAGCTCTGTCTCAAAGTTTTGCAGACCACAGTCCTCCCCATCCTCTACCAGCTCCAGGTGGTTGCCCATGGTGCCATAAGACTGGTGTGCCGGGGAAGCTGCCGGTGTCAGGCTCAGCTCGGGCTCCTGCAGTACTGTGGCCACAAAGAGCTGCCCCAGGGGCAGTGAGATCAGGGATCAGAGGCTGGATGTAAGGGGATGTTGTCCCAGGCTGGGAGTGAGCTGGGAGCCCACAGCAGGGTTAGGGAGATGTACTCACATTGGAGTTGGGAGTGGAGGAGACGCTGCTCCGCTCGGCATCAGTGAAGGTACCCTCGGACTGATCAGACATCTGCAGAGGGGAGACAGGAGGAAGCCGCACAGGGGCAAGGGGAAAAGCTTTGGGACACTCCAGCCAGAGCAACATCCCTCACCGAGGCTGGGTCCAAATCCCAGCCAAAATAGGATTCAACCAAATGGGCTAGAAATGCTGGCCATGACCCTCCCAACCACAGCACCACCCAGCGCTGACGTCTGGAAATGGGGAGCTCCTGCATGGGTAAGAGCTGACTGCCAGAGCCAGGACCGATCCCTGTCTTTGTTCTGATCCAGGTGTAGCCAAACTCTCTGACTCTGTACTGCAAATGCACCCAAGCAAAGCACACCTGCTCACCTGGTAGCTGGATGGTTTCCGTGGCTGTAGCTTCTTCAAGCAGAGGCCAAAGAAGGAGAAGACAATGCAGGAGAGGAGGACCACAAAGGTAAAGAGGGTGACAGGGCGGGTGGGACCTGGGGCAGAGACATGAGGTCAACACGTGAACCTCCAAGGACCTGCTGTACACCTAACTGAGCCTCAGGCTGGCGTATGCTGGGGGTGCTCTGAGCTCTCATCCCCCTCTTCCAAACACTAACTGATACTCCTGCATCTCTCAGGTCTTCATCACGTCTTCCCACCCCTCTTCCCACTCCCTACATTGTGTCTAACTCAGAGGTGACACCATCATCCCTCAAGGGTACAGCTCATCCCCCAGAACTTCAGACTGGTGACCCTGAGAAGTGGCAAGGGGCAGTCCCAAGCTGTCCCTACCAAGGCGCAGGACGGAGAAGAAGAGCAGCCAGAACATGCAGAGAATGGGGGCCACCACAACTTGGCTGATGGCAGCCACATGGAGCCGCTGGTTCAGCTTGGTGGGGATATACACATAGTAGATGTTGTATCGGTCCACCATGTGCTTGAGCAGCATGTAGAGCAAACCTGTTGGAAAGACAGGGGATCTTTGGTGGCTGTTCCTTCCTTTCATGGGAAGTCTCCACACTGCTACTGATAGCTGGGACAAGCTGTTCTCAGCATGGATGGGGACACAGTGAGGCCATACTCACCAAAGGGGACAATGATGGGGCAGGTGATGCTGTAGGTCATGACGACAGAGAAGATGCAGCAGGTCCACGCGTACTCCAACCCAAATTGGAACTGGTAAGCTTGGCTCTGAGACACAACCAACAACACTGTTACTGTCTTTGCCTCTCCAGGTGCACAGGATCACCTGTGTATTCAGAATAAGCCGGGGCCATGTACCCGCTTGATGTGGAGCCGCTCAGGCTCTGACTTGGCGAGGCAGAGCCGGGTGGTATAGACAAA